TTCATTAGGAGCTGCAGAATGTTACTATTTTAATTCTATCATTTCTTCCTCATTTATTACTGAGAAAATTTTTTAGAAGATTTTTTTTTTCATCAGCAGTTTAGTTATCCTGAGATACAGTTTTTATGAAGAGGCAGCTTTCAAGATAATCCTACCATCCTACCATCCTACCATCCTCCAAAAATGATCAATGAGGATATATTTTTTTTAAATACCGTTTTGAACTCCTGGATTTAACCATTCCACACATTTTAATCCATTACGGTTGGTGTTTTTATTGAAAGGGCCTCAGTTCTCCAATTGCGCTTTTTATAGAACCCTAGGATTCTTGGGCTTTCCAACTCAAGTCAGAAGATTGCCGTTTTAGACTGTTTCTGTACTAGGCTTCCCTTTGGTTAAAATAAACACTGAATTTAAGCATTGTGTTTGAAATTCCTCCACTAACCATGCAGATCTGTTGAGGAGGTACAGGGTGCAAGTTAACAGCGTTAGCCAGTTAGCAGCTTTTTAAATTACAGACTAGGGCCCACAGTGAATAGGACTAAGAAGAAAACCATTTGGGGGAACTGAGTAGGGTGCCAGTAGGAGGGCAGGCCTGATGAGGAAGCTGCCTGCCTTCCATCAGAGGAAGTTCTCTCCCTTGGGTCACCTTGTTAGGGGTAAGGGCCCTGGTGATGAGCTGAATTGGATTTCTGAGCCTTACTGAATTAAATATTTTATTTCTAATTTTTCAGATTATAAGTAATTATAAAGGACACCTTTTGGTTTCAGTTACTTTTTGTTTTTAAGAACTCCCTTTCTGAATTCAAAGAGAATTACACCATTGACACATTTGAATTCAGGTTGAAACTAAGCACTGTGGTCATTTCTTGCACTTCTCCCATTAGCTGAGTTTTAGTTTTGCCATGTCATTTCAGCTGGGGAGGTCTTTGGCTTGTTGCAGTGATTTTTCAAATCTTGCTCTTGAAGCCTGACAGAAATTTTCTGAAACCTGCTTTTTCTAACTTGGTCAGTTCCATATTTGCATCTATATCTGACATCTATTTATTAGGTTTCATATTTATCATCTGGCAGTTCTAGAGATGGGTCTGAGTTGTGTACATCATCCTTTAGTCTCATTTTCTTAGTATATATGTATATAAAGCTTGCCTTTAGATTTTCCTTTACTGGAACTGTTTGTTTTAAAGCTTCTGGTGACAAACAGATACATGGAAACCAAATACCTGAGTGCAGAATGGTTCCTAGGTTAGTTTTTCCTACTTCCTTCTGTTGCTTCTATACATATGTCATGTGTGCTTGTAGTTTTTCTTAAATGTGGGAAACAAAAACATAGCTTCAGACTCTGTTTTCTGCTCACCTCTTCTAGAGGGTACAATAATAACTTGTATCTAGGGGCGCCTGGGTGGCTCAGTCGTTAAGCTTCTACCTTCAGCTCGGGTCATGATCCCAGGGACCTGCGATCAAGCCCCGCATTGGGCTCCCTGCTCAACGGGAAGCCTGCTTCTCCCTCTCCCACTCCCCCTGCTTGTTTTCCCTCTCTCACTGTGTCTCTCTGTCAAATAAATAAAATATTTAAAAAAATAACTTGTATCTAATTCTTTATTACATAAATTAGATAAGGCACACAAATATTCTTAAGCCCAGAAAAAGTTTAGTGTTGATTGGGTAACAATGGTACGCATTTACATAGAAATCATGAAAGGCAAAACCATCTAAGAATCTCTCACCTAAAGCTCAGTCATATATTTGAATTTTTAAAAAATATTTTATTTAGGTATTTTATTTTCCATCTTATTCCAGAAATGGAATTCAGTTTAATACCCTCTTCGAGCTTACGAGCAACATCCAAGGCTTACTTTGTGTTGCCTCCATAGTAGTTCTCAGACATAATTCATTCTTGGTCTTGCGAGGGTGCATCACAGTCTCTTGGGGCTTTTGTTTAAAAATTTTTATTTCCCCGGTCTTACCTCAAGCCTACAGAATTAGAATCGCCCTCTGGGTGTGTGAAACTTAGGAATCTGAAGTTTTCAAGTTTTGCAGGTGATTCAGATCCTTAACCAGGTTTGTGAATGATTACACTCCTATACTTGGAATAGTGCACGGTCCTTAATAAAATCTTTTATGACCCTAGATCATCAGTGGTATTGTTTTCTTCAGAAAAGAAGAGCACTTTATACTAGTATACATTTCATTTTCTGGACATACTTTCACGTTGTCTGTACAGCTTTACGTTTTGTTAGATGAAGATCCATTTTCCCATACAGCTTTTGTTGACCTCAACCATCCTCTGCAGTATATATTCCTGAGGAGCTGAATGACAGGCAAGAAGGCATCTTCTTTGGCACATTTCTTTGAAGAAAAACTGGGCATCTGTAGGCCCCTCACTGAAACATGAAGTGTGATTTTGTCTGTTGAAGCTCATGGTCCAGAAGCCTGTGGCGCTGGCCCTCTGTAGGCCACAGCTGCCCTGGCTTTCCTGGCCGTCCCCGCTCTGTGCAGTTTTCTGCCTCGTTCATCACACCGGCACTGTCGCATAAGGTGATTGGTCACATATAATATTTAGCAGCAAATCCCTCTCTGACTTCTAATATGCAAATATTATTCCTCTAATGCTGGCTCTGCAGCTGTTGCCTTTTTGAGGCCCCAACCAATGTCACTTGACTGATGATGTCTTGGTGTGAAGGATTAAAAGGGAATCTTGAGTTACCACAGTACAGAAGCCAACTCAATCGAGTGTTTATCGGAAAGATTTGGTATCATGAGACCACTGTTCAATATCATCCTATTTACAATATTAATTTGCCTTAACATGAAGAGGTTTTTGGGACTTCTTTGTGTGTGTGTGTGTTAATGTTCTTTAATCACCTGGTATCAATCACTTTAAGATAATCATAAGAAAAGTAATTACTTTTACATCATATCAGGTTTTCAGCATTTTGTGTTGCTTTCCCACAGTAGCTACTGAGTCACTGAGAGCATTGCCCCAGGGAAAGGAAAGAGGAAAAAATGGTTAAATGCACAGCAAAAAGTCTTCAACAGATACTCGAAGATTGATTACCTCTGTCTTCTTTTTACTTGACCCTAATTTCTTCTACCACGGAGTAAAAAAACTTGGAAATTCAATTACTGCTTTCTCCTTCCTTCCTCTCATCCTTCCCTCCCTCTCTCTTTCCCTTTCTTTCTTTTATTCATTTTTTAAAGCTATTTATTGAGTGCCTTTTATAAAAAGTGTTCTAGGGACTGAGAATACATCAGTGAATTAAGTCCTTGCCTTCATGGACCTTACTTCTCAGTATAAAAGAGAAAACAAAAAACACAGACCAACTTGTGTAGGCATTTGTAGGTCATAGAAAATATTTTGGATTTTATTCCACCGTATGATAGCAAGCTGTTGGCTGGTTGAGAAAAGTAAGTGGCAGGATCTGATTTATCTTTTAAAAGGCTTACTCACACTGTTGTGCGGAGATTAGATTGTAAGGGTGGGGGCAGTGGTTAAGATGACTAGTTGGGAGGTGAGAGGTTGGTAATGGTAGTAGTGAAAAATAATATATTTCTATTTCAAATCTAGAACCCATAGATTTGCTGACAGTTGGTTATAGAATTAAAAAGAATGGGCTTTAGGATAATGCCTAGGTTTTTGACCTGAATAAGCCAGCAGATGTAGTCACTGTTTGCTGAGATGGGAAATGCTTGGGGAAAAGCAGGCTTGAGGGCAAAGTTGGAGAATTAAGAGAACATGCCATGTTTAGGTATGTATTAGACAACCAAATGGAGATGTCACCTCTGCAGTCGGAAATACAAGTCTGAAGTTACAGGCAGAAGTCAGGGTAAGCATATACGTGTGGAGCGAATAATCCGTAGATGATGATTAAAGCTGTGGGAGAGAGAGTGCATGAGATCACCCAGGGACTGAGCAGATATATCAGGGAGGACTGTTTTGAGAACTCTTGCTACTGAGGGGAACAGAGCAAAGGAGAAGTAGCTGGAAGGAGATAATGAGGTCAAGGGAGATTTTTGTCATTTTGTTTTGTTGTTTGTTTAATAAAGTTCATCCTTTGTTAGAAAATAGAAGGCAGGGTGTATGTGCACAGATCCTGGTAGCCTGGAAACCTGATGGTAGGAGGATAAAGATCTCCTGATTGCTTCTATTTTATACTCAGGGAAATAAGACACAAAGTCATGAGCTGAGGGGAGGGGAGAAGGGGAAAGAGCATATTGTTAAGTTTGAGAAGCAATGGGAAGGTGTGAAATAGTTCTTTTGGAGAATATGTTGCTTAGTATTTCAGACTTTTAGACTCTGAGATAACAGTGTCATCTCAGGAATGCCAAGTATTTCTGTGGATATTTTGCTTAAAGGAACCAGAATAGGAATAGTTCAGTCCAAAAATCACTAAATGTAGACAGAGTGTTTCTCTGATTTGTTCAGAAAATATATAAAAGTCATTTGATAAATTCCAGCCTTTAAATTTTTGAATCGCTAATAGAGCTCCCTGGTTCAAAATGCAAAAAGAATAAACATGTAAGCAATGAAGTGTCTTCTTTCCTTGGGTCCCTGCCATCTAATTCCTTTCCCTGGGGTCTGTCAGTGATAAAACACTTCCTTGTGTTTCCTTCCAGAGATACTTCATTGATCCATTTTTTATTTTTATTTTTTTTAAGTTGGCTCCACGCCCAGCTTGGAGTCCAACGCAGGGCTTGAACTCATGACCCTGAGATTGAGACCTGAGCTGAGATATTGATCTATTTTTTAAAAGCTAAATATATAGTAGGATTTTTAAAATACTCCTTACTCCAATTAAATAAATCATTTTTGAAAATATTATTAATATTCCTTTATCCTCTTTATACAAAAATGATTTATAAAAAGAGCAAGAAAGAGCATCTGTTTTAATAGTGACTTTACAATGTTGGCAGCCATCTGGCAGGAGTTGTATCTGTTAGATTTTTCTTAGGAAATATGTATATTTAACAAGGTTCTTTTTCCTTCTTTGTCTTCACAGCTGATCTAGCATCTTTAATGGATAAAACATATGAGAGAAAGTTGCCTGTTAGTTCTTTAACAATATCACGGGTAAGAAAACTTAAACATGTATATTTTCAAAGAAGGAGAGCTCTTTATATAGATGAGGCTATGTAAATAAAGACTATCATTCATAGGAAATATTTCTCCAGAGTATGGTATGTTTTTGTAGTTACTAATAGATGTTTTTGTAGTAAAGTAGTAAATTTCTATAAGTGAAATAAAAGGTAATAAATTTACCTGGTATCAGTAATCTGGTATCAGTAATCATTGTTGTGTATCTGATTTATTTTTATTTTTCCAGAGTCATGATATTCTGTTCTGTGATACCATGATTTTTTTTAAGTTGGTACACCTTTCAAAGTTAATAGTACTCATTTGTTAATATTGGAAGTAATTTTGATACTTGGAAGTCTATAAAAGAATGGATATTGTTCATGTTAGATATGCAGTGCAGTGGAAGGAAGAATAGTATTAGGCTGGGAATCGGGAATAGTAATTGATAGTAACCATTACTGAACACTTTTTATGCCAGCCATTTTACTAGTTTCTTATCGTACATTATCTCTGTTACTTCTTATAGAGGCTATTTGAGATAAGCACTGTAAACTGCATTTTACGTGTAAGACTCAGGCTGGTTGATAACTTTCTCAAGTTCACACAGTTCATAAGTAGAAAAAGTGGGCTTCAAACCCAGATCTCTGTGACATCAGACTTCTTTTCTGTTGCCTCCCTCAAATAGATCTGATTTTTTCTTTATCATGAATTCACTTTGTGACATTACCTGTTGGCCCCCTCTCAGTCTCCTCATTTCCAGTATGGGGTCAGTAGTATCTCCCTCACAGGGCTGATGCGATGCTAAAATGAAATCTTAGTTGTGAAAATTCTTTGTTGAAATTAATGGCACCATAAAATTCAAGATGAGGAAAAGTAAAGAGACTCTTATCCTTTTTAAAAAGTCGGGGCCCTTTTTTTCTCCCTCTTGATATTTTCCTTTTAGTAGGGAAATAGTTTTAACTAGGTCATAACCTAAATTGTATAGACTCATAATTTTCAGAGGGGAACTGAAAAGCCATTGCTCATCTCTTACATGACGGATAAAATTTCTGTATGCCATAATACCTGATATTTGTTTAAGCAGCACCTTAGAGCTTAACAGGCTTTCATGTACATTTTCTCACTGGGGCCTCACACTCTTTAGTGCAGGTGCCTTTATTCTAGTTATGCAGATGGAGCAGCTAAGTTCCAGAGCGGCTGTGCCATCTGTCTCTGCCACACAGCAAGCAATCAGGAAAGCTAGTTCTCAACTTTAAGTCCTGTGTTTGAAGCGTGTTTTCTCTGCTCCTTAATGAGATTTCTAAATAAAATCCCTAAGTCCTAGACATTTTTAGAAAGTCTCCCCCTTTTTACTCTCTCTTCCTCTTCATGAGGTTTTAATTATATTCACAACATGCATTTTTTCCTACTACATCCTTTTTGCCTGTGTTCTACTTTAGGGTAGAATCCATCCTTGGAATAATTATTTCTGTTTGTTTTTTTATTTTAGAGTTAAGGAGCACACACGGGGATTTTATGGTTTAAAGGAAGACTTTGTTGGTGCAAGGATCACAGGTTGACTCTGAACCAGAGTAGGAAAAATGGTCATAAGGCTGCATTTTCTAAATTTAGATTTTCATCTCTTGGGCCATATTTTTTCAGCCATTAGAGACTTCATCCTTTCAACTATGTGTTCTCATGTTGGGAACTTGGAACACAGAGAAAATATCAACGTTTAAAGATAAAGGGAAATACTGATAACTATACACGTAGTAGGAGGAGCTCTTTTTTGTTCTGAGCAAGTTTCATGTTTGGTTTTCAGTTTATCTAACCAAGGTTGATCTACACATAGAAAAAGAGAAGCCGTTGTATATTCTTTGCATTAGTATAAAAGGGTTTCAAGGATGGAGTCATACCATGTGAACAGTGGTCCAATAAAATGGGTGTCTTAATCTTTTTTAAGGTCAGTGTGTGAATTAGATCCAATATATGGCATAATTTGCATTCAACCGAAGGTTTATTTTTCTGTGTTTTAGTTTGTGGACAACATTTCCTCTAGAGAAGAGATAGACCATGCCGAGTATTACCTTTACAAGTAAGTTTTCCATTTTATTTGGTTGTATATTCTCTTACAAAAGGTGGTAGGTATTATATATGTTTAGCACCTTGCTTTTTAAGTTTACATTTTGGAGATATTTCCATATCAATATATAGAGAGCTTCCTCATTTTTAAATAACTGCATCAAATTCCATACTATGAATATACAATTAAATCAGTTCCCTGTTATAGCCAAGAGCTTGAGGTTGTTTGCGCTCTCCCTTTGTAATTAGGTGCAGTGGAGTAATGAACAACCTTGTACGTATGTAATTTTGCACATAATTCTCATAAGTATATACATTTGTAATTATAATGGCTATTGCCAAATTGCTTTCCGCTGAGATTTCACCAACTAACATTCCTGCCAGCAGTGTATGAGAAAGGCCTGTTTTTACATCTTGGTCAACAGGAATTTCCACATTTCTGGATTTTTTTGTCAGTCTGATATGTGAAAAATTTTATGTATCCATTTACTTCTTCTCTCCCTTATTTGGATGGAAATACAGTCTGTATGCACTATTCACCTATTTTTAATTAACACTATATTTTAAAACTTTGTACATTGCCACATTTACTTCATTCTTTCTCACAGCTGTGAACATCCCACTAAGAACTATAGACGCACACCCATGTGTACGAAGAAAAAGTACAGCACCATCTATAGTAGCAAAAGACACAAATAACCTAAAGCTGGTTAAATAAGGGGATGGTCAATAAATTGATTTATTCTGATAGTTGGTTTTTCATCATTCAGATATCTGTCCAAATGATACCCTACAACTTTTTATTTTGATTCCCTTATTGTGTTTTAAAAATCTGATTTATGATTTGTTCCACTTGCTGGGTTTCAAAAATAGACTCCAATTGAAACTTTTAAAATGTTTTCTAGTAAGCATTACATTAAAATTTGCCATTTGATCTTACTTTGCTTTGATTAAAGAGTGTTTTATTTTTTCCATCTGGGTACAATTTTTAAAGCTTTATATTGGTGAAAATTTATTCAGGTTTTTTCATGTGATTTTAGTACATAGTAATGAGCCTTTTTTTTTTTTCTTTCTGAATTGGGTAAATTCTACCACCTTTTTGGTGTTTCCTGTTCAAAATTAAAACTTAAGCAGATTAGATTTCACACCTGAAAACATTTATTTTATTTTTTTTTCAAAGATTTTATTTATTTATTTGAGAGAGAGAGAATGAGAGATAGCACGAGAGGGAAGAGGGTTAGAGGGAGAAGCAGACTCCCCGCCGAGCAGGGAGCCTGATGTGGGACTCGATCCCGGGACTCCAGGATCATGACCTGAGCCGAAGGCAGTCGCTTAACCAACTGAGCCACCCAGGCTCCCGAAAACATTTATTTTAAATCTAAGTTGACTTTAATGATGTGGTAAGTTTAAATTCTTGGGGCACCTGGGTAGCTCAGTCAGTTAAGCATCTGCCTTAGGCTCAGGTCATGATCCCGGGGTCCTGGGATCTAGGCCCGCATTGGGCTCTCTGTTCAGCAGGGAGTCTACTTCTCCCTCTGCCCCTCCCCTGCTCATGCTCTCTCTTTCTCTCCCTCAAATAAATAAATAAAATCTTAAAAAAATAAGTTTAAATTCTAAGTCCTGAAATCATTGCAAATGCCCTCCTACTCTCCATTAAGATAAATATAAAGGGATTCCTTGATGAGAGTAAGCCCTGCCTTTCTTTTTTTTTTTAAAGATTTTATTTATTTATTCGACAGAGAGAGAGAGACAGCGAGAGAGGGAATACAAGCGGGGGGAGTGGGAGAGGGAGAGGCAGGCTTCCCGCCGAGCAGGGAGCCCGATGCAGGGCTTGATCCCAGGACCCTGGGATCATGACCTGAGCCAAAGGCAGCCGCTTAACGACTAAGCCACTCAGGCTCCCCAAGCCCTGCCTTTCTTGAGTGGTTCCTTGGCACTGTAAGTCTCCTTTGAGAGTTATTTTTGCCTGTGGTGGAAGGTATATTTGGTCTATCATCTACCTAGTTCTCATTCTTTTGCTTTGTTGATGGCAAAATGCAGAAAACAGTTACAATGTCTAAAGAGAAATTATTTCTTAAAATTCGATCCTGTGGGACATAGTGCCATAGCCTTGGAAGAAATACATGCCAAATTTACAAGTACCTCTGTAGCATGTAATTGATTTCAGTGATTCAACGTTCAGCAAGTATTTACTGAGCACCTACAACATGGCCAGGCTGGGTCAAGGTGGTGGCATACAGTGACCAATAAGTTAAACACTGTCCCATTCCTCGTACATTAAAGTTTAACTGAGAAATTTAAGTCCCGCCTTTAAGACCATCCATGATTCTTCACATGAGGTTTGGCCTGGAGTCTTACTGAAAGTTTCCTAAAATCTCTCTCCTGTTTCCATTTAGAACATATACCAGACTCTTACCCATCTTAAATCTGAGCCACTGTTTAATTTGACGTCCCATCCTTTGCTTAATCAAAACTGATGTTCTTATATGATATTGAATGTGAACAATACTTCAATAAAAAAACAAAACTAATGTTCTAACTATGACTTATCACTTTTTTATTTCTATTCTTTCTTCTCCCTAACCATTGCCAAGAAAATTGGCTCTCTTTTTCTCAGCCTTTTTTTTTTTTAAGAAACATTTTTGTGACTTCATGAGATTACTATTATATGTGTATGGGACTAGGTATAACCCCAAAAACCTGCATCAAGATGTATATAATGGAGTTGGCTAGATTCACACATTAGCTAAATGTCTCACTTCTGCTCTCCACCCCTAGAAAATATATAAAACAGTTATGCCTCAGCAAAATTAGAAGTTAATTGATATCAGGAATGTTAATCCTGAAGCCATCAGGGGCCTATGGTGTTTTCACTGGTTAGGCTTTCTGCGTGCGTTCCAGATGGGATGGCTTTAGGCATCTTAAAGTTAAAGTCACAGGTCCAGGGTGAAGAAATGTTGAAGTGATTTCTTAATCCCAAACAATAGACAGCTTCTTGCTCGAATGCCCTGAGGAATTCTCATTCCCCAGACAGTACCGTCTTTGAGACTAAGGCCCCCAACAGGACTTTGGGCTGTCACCTCTGTCATTAGCTCAGCTTTTTCACTGCCTCAGCCAGTGCAGACCAGGCTTAGCAAGCAGAGCTTAGCTGCCACATCCTCTCGTCTTCTAGCGATCACATCTCCCCAGTGATTATGTGAAGAGTATTAGGGCCAAAGAAGTTTGGAACCTGGAGTGATCAGTGGAGAGCTGACTGAGCATCTGCCATCCTGTCAGGTGAACAAGTAAGCAGTTCCAAATTGCGGCAGTTCAGGGTGCTGCCGACACATGACAGCTTGTTACCCATCCTGTCATCCCAGGAGAGAATTTTAGCCTTTGAATCTCCTGAAGGACACAGGTTTAAAAGTTTAGGGGCTTCAAGATTAAGAGTCCCAGGAATCTTTTAAGGAGAGTTAGAAAGGCTGCTATTGAGAGAGCAGGAGGGGGGCGCCTGGGTGGCTCAGATGGTTAAGCGTCTGCCTTCGGCTCAGGTCATGATCCCAGGGTCCTGGGATCGAGTCCCGCATCGGGCTCCCTGCTCCTTGGGAGCCTGCTTCTCTCTCTCTCTCCCTCTGTCTCTCATGAATAAATAAATTAAATATTTTAAAAAAATAGTTTGAAGAGAGAGCAGGAGGGAGGAGAATTTCCAACCCCCTCTTTGGACTGTGATCTGTTAGCTGGGGTCCTACAACCTGATCAACTTTCCCCCCCCACCATTCATTTAAAAAAACAAAAAAACAAAAACAAGGAAAGGGAAGTGATGCATTAAACAAAGAAATAATAGGAGCTAAAGAGGAACTACAATAAATTGGAATACAATAAATAAAACCCAACAGCTAAGAAACAAGAAAATAAGGCATACTAAGAGCTGTTGGGCTATAACAAAGTAAAAGAAATATGATTAAAACAGGAGAATAAAAAAGTGAAAAAGAATAAAATGAGGTAAGAAGGACTTGATCCTCTACATAGTCTATTCACCAAATATGTACAGATATGGCCACAGAGTGGGAAATAGACATAGGCCTGCTATTGGAGAAATACTCTTAGCAGGCTGAATAGTTACCCTCTCTCTGAGTGGTTTTCAAGCTGTCTTTCCAGAAGCCCTGGAGCTGGCTTCTCAGGGGTTTGGGGGTGTGGGTTTGGGAGGAAGAGGCAGTGAGGGAGAAGCCAAGTGCTGTTGCCACCAGCCTTCTGCCTCTGCTTCTGTTTAAGCCAGAGAAGCTGTGTCTCCAGCTGCTTTATGGATCAGGGTCTGCAGAGAGAATTCATAGAGGTCTGTGAACTTAAGAGTAAAACTATGTATTTTTTTTTCACTAACCTCAGTAATAATTTAGCATTTCCTTTCATTATGAATACAGACAACAGATGACAGTATTATAAGCAGCATCTGTGTCTTGCTCACTAATAAAAACAGGTTTTTCAAATAGCATTACGTTTGTTGCAGATATTTTAAATTATGCTCATCAATGCTTAGAAATTACATTTGGAATTAAACCGCTAGAGAAGCACATTTTCCCACATCTTAAAGATTTTTTTAAATATTTCGATAATTGTATGTCACTATAATTGGTTTCTTTTGTGATCCTATGTGCTTTTATTTTATGCATGTAAAAACATTCTGGGAAGGGGCTTATGAGCTTTAAGCGTTCCAGAGAGTTCTATGCCACAAAGAAATGTCAAGAACCCCGCTATGAGATCATGTTTGAAAAAAAGGTGCTTTGCTTAGGCTTAGTCCTGCTGCTTCCCCCAGGCCTTTTGAAGTTTTCTAGGTCTTTGTTTTTTTCTTCCTACAAAGAAGGCTTTATTTTCTTAGTTTAGACTCTGGAGTAAGACGAACATATGGCTGCTACGGTGTGCTGTTTTCCAAATGAAAGCTTAAATGGAGCGGGCCTCCTGAGCTTCCCCACGGAGCTGGGAAGGTGAGGGGAGGCGGGGAGGAGAGGACGGCCCCTGTCTGCCCCGGCAGGAGACCGGTTGGGGCGGCGTGCTGCAGGAACAGGAACATTTCTGCTGGGTTTTGGTATCACCACCCCTCCTGGCGTGGTGAGGGAGAAGCCATGAGACAGCCTAGCAGTAGCAGCAGAGGTTTTGAGGCACCGAGGAGAAAGGTAACCCCATAACCCCACAACTGACGGCTGCTGAGAGGAAAGGGCCGTTCAGTGGGCAGCGGACTGCCGGGCAGAAGCAGCTTGACTGCTGAGTCATGCTTGATGTTTGTTCAAAAGAGTTTCATATGTCCCATGTTAGTGTTAAAAAGAGTTGCGCAAAATAGTTTTTCCCTTGGGCATAGGATTAATTTCTGCTTCCTATTCACATGCCTTCTCCTTGGCTTTTTAAGGAAAAAGTCTTCCTACCTTTGTTTAGAGCATTCCTAAGGATTAGATTTGCATCTTTATTTTACGGATGCAGAGACTAAGGCATAGAGATTCACTGAGAAAAGCCAACATAGATGGTGTGCGTGTGAGCCACTGCCTGCCCCACACAGAAAAGGGCAGCCACGAGGATGGATTGTGAACAGAGACCAACACTGTAAAAACAATATGGTGTCTTCCCAGTGCAAGATATTATCAATAAGGATCCCAGAGGGAGCTATAGTTTTTTTCAAGGAAGCTGAGACAGAAGGGATTCCATAGAGACCAGAGTATAGAGCATGGTAGAACAGGAGAAAATTAAGAGATAGGAGGAAATCCCTTGTATTTCTTGTAGTCTGTGGGTCGTTGGTGGTACTTGGTTTCTAAAAACTGTGATCTTAGCTTTTTCTCCACAAGGGATCCCCTTTTAGGATCTTTCAACTTGAGGTCAGTGTTATAGCAAGCTTATCTAGAGTTTTCCTTTATCATTTTGTGGGGTGTCTCTTGGGCCACCTACTCAATAGTTCTGAGCCCAGGACTCCCCAAATC